GAGCGCGCCCTGCAGCCCACTTGCTCGCACCCACTGCCCGTCACGCCCCTGGTGCCCCCGGCTTCAACCCTACACGCTCTGATCCTCTCAGTCTGCGCAGGTGTGACAGGGGCGGCAATGGAACACCTGTTGCTTGGGCTGCTCTGAGACTCTGCGCTGCCGGATTTGCAGTTACAAGGACGTGTCTGCGGGCCTCCTTCTTCCCTTCTTGTGGCGCACTGGGCACTGAGGTGGTGCTCTGGTGGGGGCTCCCCCTCCTCCGCACACAGCCCTCCCAGGTGATCAAGCCCTGACTGCGCTGTGACACAGCAGGAGGTTTGCCTGCAAATTTGATTTTGTTTTAGGTATAATTTTCATTAGCTGGAAATTTCAAAGAATAAAATGTTAGTATTTTATGTCCATCGTCAATATCCTGTTTAAAATACATCTACTCACCCTTGTCACAGAGAAAGAGCAGAATCAAAGGACAAGGGAGTGCCACTGGCCAGACCCCAGCTGTCAGCCATCAGAGATGGAGCTCAGCCGCTGTTCTCAAGTTCAAGGGCACACGTCTCATGTGAGCAGAATCAAGGAGCAATGGTGCAGCTGCCACCGGAACAGGGACTCCGTGCGTCCCGGGCTCTGGGGCTCCACCTTCAGCTCCATTCCACCTGTACCCTTGAGACAGGCACTTACCCTCCGAAGCAGGGAAACCCCTCCCGATGTGACTGGGAGAGGGTACAGAGGGTCCCGATGTGTTTCACTGGCATTAAGCCTGCACTCTGGAACTAACTGCTGTCACAGGAAGCTGTAATCTGCCCTGCTTCCTGGACTGGGTGGGAAGGGCCCTGCCCTCCCACGGCCTAGTGAGGAGAGAGCTGCTGAGGGGGTAGAAAATGGGGGTAGGCAAAACATAGCTCTTTAAAGCCAAACCCACACCCGTATCAGGGGCAGCTCTTCACGTACACCTGCAGGGAGTGTTTTACTATACAAGTTGCAGATGAATTTAATTTCTTGTGAAACAAAAAAATGTTACAGAGCACCAGGAAAGGTGATGTAGTACCCGCATACCCTCCTCCTGCTTCCCCATCCTTCAGGGCGCCGCTGCTCTTTGGCTTCTGTGACTTGAATGCCTTTACCCACACATGTATACCCACAAGTCAACAGGTTTAGAAAATAAACTGCCATTTGGGATTTGTCAATCCATGTGCATTGTAAATGCATAATTATTTGATATGTTGCCCTGAAAACTACCACTTTTAAAATATATGAGGCTGTACCATGTAATAAAAACAATTGTTTCCAACTTTTTCCTACTCAAGAATCTAAAAATATACAGTAATTAATCCTTCTTTACATAATTCACAGTACAGTAAGGAATTCATTTTGTCTATGCTAGATAGCAGGAAGAGAGACTCCTGGCATACATATTAAAGAAATTAAGTTTATAATTTTTGACTTCCCACAAAGAAAGCTCTGGGTCCTGATGGCTTTACTGGTAAATTATATCAACTATTTTAAAAGAATTGATTAAATAAATATAAATTGACTTATATTTATTATGAGATAAGCACAATCATTATACTAAAAGTCCACTAAGCATATAGCAAAAAAAAAAGTTCCCCTCCAAATATAGATATACAAATGAAGAAAGAAAGAGAAGAAGAAAAAAAAGAGAGAAAGAAAGAGGTCAAGGAAGGGAGGAAAAGAAAATTGAATCTGATAATATGCAGAAAGAAAGCTAGATAGCAATCAAATTGGAATAATAATAAAGCAAGATCAATTTGACATTTAAAAATCAATCAGTGTATGCTACTTCTAGAGGTATTAAAATATTTCAAGTTTGTATAACTAGAAAATCTTACTTTTAGTTTTCAAAGGTATGTTTGCTAAGTATAAAATTCAAAGAGGACAGAACTTCTCTTTCAGTCCTATAATTAGTCTAGTTTCTTACACACTTGGTCCTTTTTCTTTCTTTCTAATGTGGAATAAGATGTTATTTAACTTTGTTCTTCCATAGCTAATATTTTAATGTATATGCTTTAATGATTTTTTTCTTTGAAATAAGATTTGGACAATTTCATTTTTGTGTATCTTGGTATGATTTTATTAAAATTTCTTGTGCAAAAGGAAAAAAATAAAATAAAAAAATCAGTCGGTGTAATTCAGCTTACCAATACAATAAAAAAGGAAAGTGACAGCTCCGTCTCAAAAATGGAAGAGAAAAAAAGAAAGTTTTAAAAATGAAAATTAAAAATATCCTTAGCAAACTACAAATAAAAGAGAATGTTCATAACTGATAAAAGAAATCAACAAAGAAAAAATGGTAATTCGTATGTCATACCTACTGGTGGAATATCGATAACTCCTCCTTGGACGTGTGCTGAGGGGGCACACTGTGGCCCCTTCTGCTTAATAGTATTCTGTGGGGCCTTGCTAAGTTTATAAAAATAAAATCCATAGGTGTCAGGGGTATGGGGATGTGTGAGGTGTGTGTGTGTGTGTGTGTGTGTGTGTGTGTTTCAGTGGTAAAGCATGTGTTTAGCTTATGCAAGCTCTGAGTTCCATCCCTGGCACCACCAAACAAAATGCAAAACAAATGAATGAAAGTTTAGTTTTTTGCAGATGACATAAATATATTTAAGAGATACAAAAAGAGAGTCCTAGCCCAGGCCCGGTGAGTGGGTGGGAGAGCTTCTAGCTACCCTGCGCCGGTGGGACCTACTGGTTCCAGCCCAGGCGCAGTGTGGGTCAGACACTCTTCCAACCCCTCGGGACACCCCCCACCACTCTTCAGGACCTCCTGTACCCCGCCCGCCGAGTCAGAATTTCTGCCACGTTCAGGGAACCCCCAGAACCAGTCCTAGCCCAGGCCTGGTGAGTGTGTGGGAGAGCTTCCAGCTACCCTGTGCCTGTGGGACCTACTGGTCCCAGCCCAGGCACAGCGTGGGTAACACTCTCTTTCACCCTCTTGGGATACCCCCATCACTCCATAGTACCCCCACACACACCCCACCCACAGAGCAGGAATTTCTATCGTGTTCTGGGAACCCCCAGATCTAGTCCTAGTCCAGGCCCAGTGAGTATGTGGGAGAGCTGCATCTACCCCTACTCCACTTTCTCCTCTCCAGACTCGGCTCAGGCCTGGCATATAGGCCAGGGGTGAAACCCTTCAGCTGCAATCCCTGCAGAAAGTGTAGGAAACAGAACCACCCAGCTAGTCTAGGAGCAGAACATCTTGCCAGAGGGGCACAATAGGTTCACCCCCAAGAGTAGCAACAGGAAGGAACTGAGCACAGCAGCCAGACCCAAGTCAGGTACAGCTGGATAAATCCAAACTTTGTAGATCTACACCTGAACTTCAGTAGGTGCTGAGGCTATAACTATAACAAAGGTCAGAAGACAGTGCTACACAAAATGGCAACGAGAAGGAGCAAAATGCAGTCTAAGAACCCAAGCCCACCCATAACAACTGCAGAGGACAGTAACACAGAAAAAAGTGGGAATCACACAGCTGAAAGCAATGAATCAATGCCTTCTGATATAAAGAAACAGCTGCAGAAAGGTATAGAGGAACTCAGATTGGAAATGAAAAAGAAATCCCTGAATTAATAACATCTTCAGTAAAGAATCAAATGCAGAAACATATGGAGGAAACCCAATGCCCACCCAGGACAAGTGCAGAGGACACCAGCTCAGCTCAAATGTATGAATTAATAGCGTCAATAGTAAATAAGCAACAGCAGAAAGTCATAGAACTCAGAGCGGAATTCTTTTCTGCTAGCTCAGCTCAAATGTACAAATTAATAGCGTCAATAGTAAATAACCAACAGCAGAAAGTTATAGAGGAACTCAGAGTGGAATTATTTTCTGAAATAAAGAAAGAATTCTCAAAAGTCATAACATCTGAAGTAAAGAATCAACTACAGAAACATAGGGAGGAAACCCAATCTGAAAAAACACTGCAGTAAAAGAATTTATAACTGCTTCTAAAGAAGACATTGATAAAAAAAATAGAGGAGATTAGAAAAATGACAGATTCCTTGAATGAGGAATACAGGAAAGAAATAGATCACATGAAGCAGAGTCAAAGAGATATAGAGAAAATTAAAATCTCAATCACAAGTTTGCAAAACCATTTAAGTGGAAGTGAAGACAGAGTTTCAGATCTTGAAGATGCTGGTGCAGCTAGTGAAAAGATAAGAATGAATCTCTTAAAAACAACTAGGATGCAGGAAAAAATAATCCAACACCTGCAAGATGATGCAAAGATGAACAATGTGAGACTAATAGGCATCAATGAGAAAGAAGGAGTCAATACAAATGACATTAAAAAAAATATGGGCAGAAGTAATAGCAGAAAACTTCTCAAATATGAGGAAACAATCTGACATTCAGGTAACTGAAGCACACAGAATGCCAAGTAACCTCAACCCAATGAAAAACACACTGAGACATATAATAGTCAAGATCCCAGAAATACAGCACAAGAATAATATACTGAAAGTCGCTAGAGAAAAGAAGCAGATCACATTCAAAGGAAAACCCATCAGAATTACCGCCGACTTCTTTTCACAAACCATGAAGGCAAGAAGAGCATGGAGCAGAGTACTTCAGGTCCTCTATGAAAACAAATTCCAACCCAGACTAATATACCCTGCAAAACTCTCTTTCAAGTTTGATGGAGAAGTGAAATACTTTCATGACAAACAACAGCTAAAGAATTTCATGATGACAAACCCAACCCTACAAAGTCTACTGAAAGATGTTCTAGAGAGGGAAAAAGTGATCAGAACTCTACAAATGAGATCAGAAGCAACCAACTAAATAGGGCAAGCAATTAAACACAGGAGAAAAAGAAGTAAACGACAACAGATAAATAACATGTCAATTGTAAGTCAATACATCTCAATTCTAACCATTAATGTAAATGGCCTCAATTCACCAATTAAGAGAAAAAGACTGGCACAGTGGATTAGGAAACAAAATCTAACAATATGCTGCATACAAGAAACACATTTATCGCTTCTCAGCCTTTTGGCTAAGATGAAGTGTGGTATCTGTTCTTATCAGTTTAATACCTGATACATCCTGTACCCAAGAATAATATATTAAATGCATTTTTGGAGCTGGGAGATGGAATAGGAGCTTGCTCCGTACCCTCCACACATCGACTTGGTATTGCAGTACCTCCAGAAATGGTGCACCCCCTTGGGGTAACAACAACAACAAAAAAGAAACACATTTCACTCATAAAAGCATTCATAGGCCGAAAGTCAAAGGATGGAACACAATACTACATGCCCCAGCACCTCAGAAAAAAGCAGGGGTAACAATCCTATTCTCAGGCAGTCTCAACTTCAAACCAAGAATGATCAGGTGAAATAAAGAAGGACACTATATACTGGTTAGGGGAAAAATTCAAGAGGAAGAGGTAACACTCATAAATATGTATGCACCAAACACGAGAGCACACAATTATGTAAAGCAAATCTTAATGGACATGAAAAATCTAATATCCAATACCACAATCTTAACAGGAGAACTTAACAACCCCTTATCCCCAAAATATAGATCAGTGAGACAAAAACTTAGCAAAGAAATAACAGAAATGAACCAGAGCTTGAAACAAATGGACTTGGTGGACATATACAGAGTGTTCCACCCAAACACAGCTGAATACACATTTTTCTCAGCTGCACATTGGTCA